TGGGTTGGAAAGGGGGAACCGATTACAAGGATCTACATGTGACCTCATCCCTGGGGGACAGACAACAGAAAAGTGGGTGAAGGGAGATGTCGGACAGGGCGAGATATAACAGAATAATAATTTATAAATTATCAAGGGTTCATGAGGGAGGGGGAGCGGGGAGGGAGGGGGGAAAATCAAGACCTGATGGCAGGTCCTTAGGTGGAGAGCAAATGTTTTGAGGATGAGAGCAATGAATGTACAAATGTGCTTTACACAATTGATGTATGTATGTATCGTGATAAGAGTTGTATGAGTCCTTAATAAAACGATAAAACAAAAGAAACCTGACCAAAAGGTGGGGAGAACAGAAATGCAACTTCTCAAGGAATCCAAATGTTCTGAAGCCACAGAGGGTGGATGCAACCCTGCAACGATGAACCTGAGCTCATCTGTAAATCTTCACCTGAAAATATCTTCCTGAATCCTTTGACAACCAAACTCTAGTATTGTTTAAGTCGGAAAGAATGTCTGCCTTGAGCCCTGCTCTTTCGGGCGCTATCCACGTGGGATGGGGAGCCCGGGGCTGAGTGGGCTGCTCACTGCCAGAGCCGCAGTCGGAAGCACGAGGCGCTCCACGGGAGAGCGAGAAGCAGCATGGACAGGCTGGCACTCGATGGCAGTGAGCGCGTTTTTGTTGATGTGAGAGGAGAACTTGACCCTAGGGGGGAGTGAGCTGATGTTACTTGGGGAGGGACAATGCAGAGGAGAAGGGGGAGACTGGTTGCACAGCTGGAAAGCTGTGGCAGCGGTTTCATGGTGCGTGTTCTGCTGTGCAGGTTCTCAAGAAACCAGATGGAACAGAAAAAAGAAGCAAAATGCATCGAAATTACTTTTTTATGGTTTTATCTTCATCTTGTTTTTTTAACTTTGATTGTGAATTGGGCTGACTGCTGCCACCTGCTTTGGTGCACACCCAACAGCATTCTTCTCAACCTGGTGATGGTTGGACTGAAAATTCCAGACCCAAAGGGTGACCAAGGGCCCAAACCTTACGGTTTCACCAATCGCTGACCAGCAAGCCTGGTCTCTCATGATTTTGGGTGTTGCTTCCCATTTTTCTCCCCACCTGCCCTGGAGGAAGCACCGACAGAATGCTCCTTAAGAGACAAGGATGGCGAGACTTCATCACCCGTACTTTGGGCATGTTGTCAGGGGAGACCCGTCACTGGAGGGGCAGTGAAGCAGAGGGAGACCCCAATGACAGGGATGGACAGTGGCTGCAATGATGGGCTCAAGTAGAGGCACAATTGTGAGGGTGGCACGGGACCCTGTGCCGTTCCATCTTGTTCTACATCGGTCGGTCGCTATGAGTCAGAACCAACTCAACAGGACCTTACCATCACCACCCCCCGCGGGTGTTGTGCCCTCTCTCTGGAAGAGTCTGTGGGAAGCCAAAGCCCATGCCCCATGGCCATCCAGTGGGGCTTGATCTGCTGAGAGAGTCTCACAGGAGTGGTCAGCGAGGAACAAGTCAGGGACACAGAGGCTTTCCCATAAGTCCACTGAGGGGCTGGTTTGTGGTGATGTATGTTCTTAAAAGACATCCTTATTTGGAAATAAGATCTTGGGAGATCCTTTTCTATGAATACGAGGCCATCGTGGAGCAGGAGATCTGTATCTTTCCGGGACAATGACAAGAGGCACAGACATGGAAACACACCAGAGGAAGGAGCCACATGCCAAGGACCACCTGTTAACACCCTGGACTTGGATTTCTGGCCTCGAGACAGGAAAATGTGTCTGTCTTAGAGATGGCCCAGTGACATCATTTGTTAAGGAGCTCTGGGGGGGGGTGGTGCTGTGTGGTATGGGTTGGACTGCTAACTGCAAGGTCCGAGGTTCAAACCCCCCAACCAGCCACTCCTTAGGAGATGAGTCTGTCTGCTCCCGGAAACACAGGTAGCCACAGAAACCCGGTATAGAGTCACTGTAAGTTAGGATGACTGGAGGGCAGTGGGCTTGCGGGCGGGCGGGCAGTGGTGGTGGTGTGTCTGTCCTTTGTGGTAGCAGCCCCAAGGCAGTAGTCTAGGAATGATGGAGGGGACATTTTGAAATGTGTGTGACTGAGTAGTGGTTTTGGGGGCTTAGGTGCAGAAATGCCCCCCCCTCCTTTTTAAATGTAGGGTGAGGTGACCTTCTAACTTTGGGAACCAAAATGACCCAACACAGTATGGGGTCTTGGGTGCCCCAAGGCAAGGCTGTCTGCCCTGGTTCCAGCCTGATATTCTGCCCACAGCTCCTTGTGGATCTGAGGTGTGCTCTGCTGGGGCTGAAGTTGAATCACTGTCCAAGGGGCCACGAGCAGTCTCTGTCCCTGGGAGTGACAGTCCGCTGGAGGTCTTAGGAATACTGGATCCCTGTCTAGTGCCCTGGGACCCCATGGATCAGCGGATGGATGTGATGGGGGGTGGGCTGGGGAAGAGGCTAGCCCTTGTTCCCAGTGCTCAGGAGCCCTCCTTCACACTAGTAAGGTCAGGAGCCCTGGACCCCCCTTCCTTGGTCCAGGCATGGCCTTAGACTGAAGTGATACTAGCTTTCCCTCTTCTGGCCCCTAAAGCAAAAGTGACAGTAGCCAGCTGGTCCCTTCTCTGCCGAGCTGGTGACGGGTTCCTGGCCCTCAGACCTAAGGGGGTAGACTGTGTCTCCACCCCTTCCTACGCACTACTGGAAGGCACCATGCCATCGACTATTCCCCAGCGAATGCCTCTGTGAGGGTTCTGGCTATCATAACCTGTGTTGTGAAGTGGCCTCGGTAGGCCTTGATTGGTTGGCAACGGGCGGGCAGGCGCTGTCTGTGAC